TCAGTGCGTCCTTAATATTAGACTTGGTAATTTCAATACACCAGCTTCACATTAAATTATATAGGCCTACTCAACATATACTCATGCAAAACACACCAAATAGTATCAAAGCTGAATAAAACTGATAATTATGAAGAATATTATTAATTTAATAAGTGAATCATACAATTAATGTCAACCTCAGTCAATGATACCTTGAACCTTTCACGTTTCTCAATATTAGCACTACTTTTATTCCCATATTTGATGTAAATTGTTAATTTTTCTGACCATTTTAAAATCCAAAACTGGCTAATCGCTTTTAACATCCTTGTTAAATGTCTCCCTCATTACAACCATCCATTACGGCCTGACTCATGTTGCTCCTCAACATGCAAATCTTCTCTTGTCTCACAATGGGTCAGTCATATCCATGGTAACAAGATTGACTTTCAAAGCCTGAGACAGAGTAAAAGCCAAGAAAATTCAAACCCATCAGTTAGAATTCAAATCAACGTCCTTGAAAATGTTTCACAAGATTGTTTGATGATTAAAAGCAACATGAGAATCAGCAGTTACATAAACTGATTGATTTCAACAGCACGATCTGATAAAGTTGGCCAAATGTATTGTCAATCGCAACATGCCATTTACTGTACATCTGCCAACGTACAAACCAATCAACAATAAAAACACATTGTCCCTGTTACAGATCCGAGTCAGTTTCCTAGGAAAGAAGGACCACAGCCAAAGTAGAGAAGCCATCTGTCCTGTAGACGGGGAGCTCAAGGCACCCCGCCTCCATATCCTTGGAGCCCCAAGACCCGATTACAAGCCCATATTTGCAGGCTAGAGATCAAGAAAAAATATTACCTCTGCAAACAAGCACTGGAGAACGATCAAAGAAAAATAACACCCCCTCAGATTCACAGATTTCCAGCTGTAGCGGTCTTGTATTGAGATACCAGCATTCGGAAATCCAAGACGAATGCAGGGCTACTCCAAAGAGCAAGGACAGTCATAACTCACTGATATGATACAGCACCTCCCTTCAGTAACATGGAGGTCAATGGGGCAGGTCTGGGGATTTGTGTGTGTATACCTAAATAAACTTAAATACAGGAAGGTAACAAGCTGGCTTGCAGCTCTGTCTGTTTGTCTATGGATAAACAGAGAAAAATACAGCGCAGGTAATGACTGAGGGAGAGATTCAGCCTTGTGGAGGTTCGCCAGTCATTTTGAAATGTGACAATCATCATAAAATTGCATCAGGCATGTCCAAGGCAACCACTCAGCATCTCACTGTTGCCATGAGTCACAAAAGACACAATGTAACAGCATATGAGAATCACAGCCACAAAATACAAGCGCTTGTGATGCTGAAGCTCGTTTGGTAGTGTTTAAACTGACAGCAGGTTGATTTGACTTTTCCAAAAAACACTCATTTTTTACCTTCTCATGTCAGCAATTTCTGGGGCGCTGCAAAGGTCAAAGGGCACAGCAAAGGATCATAATTCAACCAAGGACACAAATGGTCTCAAAAATGTGAAAAAGGAGTACACTTTAGCTTTTAGCATAAAAGAGCTCTTATTATATTATACTTTAATATAAATAGTATACTCTAAAAGAATATATTTAAGTGCAAACTGAATGTTTTCAGAAGCTTTATTTGATATTATTTACAATTAAATGAATATAGGAACACCAAATATAGGAAGAAAGCAAAGCTGAATACAATTTATTTTATTTTAGACAAAAGAATGTAGAATTATAATATTGGGCATAACATAGAAATAATTATCAGCCTATCAGAATATTATTATTGGTGCATCCCTACTAATACATATAGTAATTACAATAAACCTGCACATTAAGGTTAAAAATATATACTCAAGCAAAACACACTGAATATAGTAACAAAGCTGAATAAACTTGATCATTTTAACTTAAGTGCAAACTGAATGTTTTCAGACGCTTACTTTGATATTATTTACAATTAAATGAAAAAGTGTTTGTTTAAATATTAAATGCAATTAGTTGATTTGAAGAATGCTTTTTGACCCACGTAAGTAGGACTTTAGTACTTTATATGTAATTTTATTTCATAATTCTATTGTCTTTGAGTGAATTGTCGAATATAGCAAGGGTTGCCAGGTTTTTACAAGAAAACCCACCCAATCGCTACTCAGAACTAGCCCAAAACTAGCCCAATCGTGTTTCAAGGGGGTCCCCAATTAAAAATCGCATTCCGGGGGGGGTAAAATGCGTTTTTTGGCGGGGTTCCCCTGCTAAAAATTCGCATTCCTGGTGATAAATATCATGTTATTGGAGTCGAAACTTGATCATTTTAACTTAAGTGCAAACTGAATGTTTTCAGACGCTTACTTTGATATTATTTACAATTAAATGAAAAAGTGTTTGTTTAAATATTAAATGCAATTAGTTGATTTGAAGAATGCTTTTTGACCCACGTAAGTAGGACTTAAGTACTTTATATGTAATTTTATTTCATAATTCTATTGTCTTTGAGTGAATTGTCGAATATAGCAAGGGTTGCCAGGTTTTCACAAGAAAACCCAACCAATCACTACTCAGAACTAGCCCAAAACTAGCCCAATCGTGTTTCAAGGGGGTCCCCAATTAAAAATCGCATTCCGGGGGGGTAAAATGCGTTTTTTGGCGGGGTTCCCCTGCTAAAAATTCGCATTCCTGGTGATAAATATCATGTTATTGGAGTAGCTTCAACCCACGGACATGAAAAACAACCCATGGCAACAGTGTTAAAGTAGCCCAACACTGAATATAGCAACAAGCATTTATGGTAAATTAAAATAGACTTACAATTCAAATGTATTGTAGTATTTAGTATTTAAATTACAATTAAATACATAATATATTAACTAATAATATATTAACTGTACTTTAAAGTAAAGCATGTAATTTGACTATTACAAACGGCTCTTTTTACGCATACTTAAGTGTTAAGAAAGTGTACTCCAAGTACACTTAAGTGGTCTTTTATTTCATTAATAATATATTATCTTTTTTAAAGTACATTTACTTTAAGATTTAATAAGTACAGTACAAGTACATTTATTACAATTATGCACACTTCTTTTTCACAAATCTGTATAGTACAACATTGCAAGAATCTCAGTTTACCACACTAAAGTTAAGACACCTGCCACAGAAAACGAAACCCAAATAACCAAACTAAACTTCAAAAAGCACTCAGAAAGCTATATTTGTGTCTATTTTTGTATGAATTCAAAATATAGGGAAATCACTGAACCTATTGCTTATGTACACAAAAGTGCATGCGGGTTCATCCGGGTTGATTATGTGCAAAAGTGTGTGTGTACGTAGTAACACTGCTGGCTTTGTGACCTTTAGTTCAGTCATTTATTTACCAACAGTATACAGCAGTAAATGTGGTTAAATACCCTAATAGTTTACCGATTCAAACTTGAATAACCATAAATGTCATATGTCAATAAGACAGATTTGATATTGGACATTTTATGAGTGACGAGAAGTTCCAACCCTGATTTTCATATTAATCCTCGATACAAGTTTCCTAAAACATTAAAACCAGCATTTATGTATTCTGTTCAAATAACTCACTACAGTAGCTATATATGAGTTTATCAGCATTTTAAGTGGACATTTTCAAAGTGTTCATCGCTATGGCTCAAGATTGTTCACCCTCAGCACATATTTCACATATACCTGTTAAAATGTCAGGAAACTGTCAAAAATGCCACGATGTAACAAATGCTTATGCTTGCATGTCTATGCAGAACCTGTGTTCCCTACTGATAAATATTGTTTATATTCATAGGATTGCTCAGTAAGGACACCGATCTGATAATGACAGTAAACAGCTAATTAGCAGGTGATTACTCAGTGGCTCCAGCACTGGAAGAAACAGAGACTTACCGTTTCATTACAGCTTGAGCTGACTGAACCAAAACACTGCTTATTGTACAGGGGTTTCTTTTAAATCTAATAACCATACTTACTTCTTATGTTATGCTGTTATTTTATTAGCAAAATAAGATGGAACCCTGACGTTGTGTAAAATCTCACATCTGTCACTTTCACTATATACCTGTGTCTATACAGGCTCAGTACTAATCATTATTAGTTCATTAAAAGCCTTTGTGTTTCTATAAACATTAATTTAGAAAAACCACACATTAACTGATAGCCATTTGTGGTTCTTTAAGCCATTAAAGATGATGACTGACTCCATGTTTAACACAGTCAGGTGTGGCCAATTATGACCAAATATGGTTCACACCTGCACATGTTCATTGCTATTTATGTGAGGAGGTGGTTGATTTGAATATAATGATGCTGATTAGGATAGGAAGTGTTAACATGAATTCTTTTGAGAACCAGGAGACTTTGCTAATATACATATGCAAACCATTTATATGTTTAGCTAATATCTCAGAGACCATGCAATATGTGATGATGATAATAATAATAATAATAATACAAAAACATGAATAAAATACTGTCAAAATAATGTTTTATGCTTATTTTTCAATGTTTGCTATAAACCAAAAAAAAAAACAATTATATAAATAAATTCTAATACCAAGATCTCAGATGTGACATATTGTTTTAAATACGCACATACTCACCAAAGACATAAATGCAATACATTAACACACACATGCCAGTGGTCTAAATCTTAATAATGATATCATGGACTTGTCTTTGAAAGTAAATATTTGGGACTGTAGCAATAATAATAATAATAACAAACAAAACATTATTTAATAAATATTAAAAAAAATAATATTCATAAACACAAGACAAAAACACCTTTTGATAAAATAACCTTATGAAATAAAAGTCAAATCAATGTACAGGTCATTTCACAATGTCATTGCTAGCAAAGAGAATAGAATTTACATTTCTGTGTTTGCATCATGTTCTAGTCCATGTCCACAACTTTTGGCTTTGAATCTGTGGGAGAAAAACATCAGTATCGTCAGATATGAACTTACAGGCATGTTTATCCGAAGCGATCTCCTTTTTCTTGAATTTTTCTTCTCTTCTTTCTTCTTAGAATCCATTGCAGTACTGCCCATCTCCCAAAATAAAGCTTTTGTTCTTTGGCAAAGGCTTAGCCTATTTAACACGGGCGACGAGAACAAAATCCATCTTGCATATGAGAGTAACAAAATAATACTTTGAAGTAATATTAAATATATATATTTTCGATTTAGCAGGTTCTCGTACGAAATAATATTGGGTTCATTTCTGTCGGTGTCTGAACAAAAACACTTGCACCCTCAGTGGAAAAAATAAACTTGCATGCGCACGAACAGAAAAGGTGAAGAGGATGAGAGGTGTGTGTGTGTGTGTGTGTGTGTGTGTGTGTGTGTGGAAGCGTCAGTGCAAAAAAAAAACAGGCTGATATGACGGCCATAAACGCTGCTACTAGGATTTGAGACACAACCACTCACATAACACTCCGCGATAACAAACACCTCAGTGTGTTAATCAAGTCTCAAACACTTTATATGCCTGTTATTGTGAGTGTAATTTCAAAATTAGATATTTTGGACACTGGAAGTTTGGACATTTCGTTTCATTTAAATCTGTTGGTGTGTAACTAACTACATACAAAAGTTGAACATTAGAACGTGTTACAGTAACAACACTAAATGTGTTTGAAGTTACCTTGTTTCAGATATTTTTGACTAATATAACCTGCTTCAGGAGAATACAATTATCTAAATATTTCAAATAATTTCCTCAGAAATTGGAAGATGGTTTTGACATATCATGGCTGTGATACAGGCAATTTTGTCTCTCATAGTTGAGGTATACCTATGATGAAAATTACAGGCCTCTCTCATCTTTTTAAGTGGGAGAACTTGCACAATTGGTGGCTGACTAAATACTTTTTTGCCCCACTGTATACCCACTTAAACACATTGGTACCCTAACAAACAGCGGCCCTCTTTCAAAATGGGAAGTGTTTAGTTTGCTTCGATTCGTTGTGAATTTCGCAAGTAATTTTTTCTACAAATAGTCCATGTTCCCTGCAGCAGTGATTTATGTTGAATCCTTAATCATGCTAACCATAGTTTTTAACAAAATACCATGTTATATTTATTATTACTATGATAGAATTGTTAACTTGGTATTAGCGTCACTTTCATCAAAATAAGAAATTAAAATGACTCTGAAAGTGTCTTATTTGAAAGACATCACATGATTTTTTTTAAATGTTTTAATCACATTAACTAGTAATAACTATGGTATTTTGGTGGAAACTTGGGTTACTGTGCTAAATTTTCCTCAGTGATGTTAGCTGCTATTGGATGTTTAGTGTTAACGCTCAGGTCTGTCTCTAAATGTATTATCGCTGTTTTCAAATGCTGTGCAGATGTGGGCAGAGGAAGTGACGAAGGTAAGAAGAATGTTCTGCCGCGCTAATGTGAAAACTGCAAACTGTGTCATGATGAGTTTCTCTCTGCAGTGGAAAACTGAAAATAGACTAGTTGGACTACATTGCCTAATGTTTAGTTTCCAACATTTTGCGTTAAAAAAGCTTCTTTTGTACATGTAATTACCAACATTATTTTACGTTTCCACTTTCCAGTGTCATACAAGATTCCCCAATGCATGATCAAAAATGGCAAAATATGCTGTTCTAGGTTATCAAAAGAACTTTTCTTTAAAAATGAATGAGCTATGCTAGTAGGCTAAGGTGTTAGGTTGCTAACTGAAGGCAAACTGAAAACACAGATGCAAGGTCATCACAAGGGATCTTGCATGACACTGACTTTACTGAAGTTTCTTTTAATATTTTATGACCACACCAGTATTATTTTCGTATGTTTTTAGTTAATAATAATTTGAAATTTTAATCGTTTTATCTATATTTTCAGTTTTAATTCATGTATATTTTCATTTTAATTTAAGTTTGTCATTTTTGTCAGTTTATTATTATTTTTATTTTTATTATTCTTTAACTTTAATTACTTTTGACCTCACCAGTATTATTTTAGTATTCTTTTAGTTAATAATATTTTGAATTTTGAATTGTTTTTAAGCATATTTTCGGTTTTCACATTGTAATTTATTTTTTTTTGTCATTTGTATTAGTTTATTATTTTTTATTATTCTTTTAACTTTAATTACTTTTTTCAGTTTTAGTCATTTTAGTACTTATGTTATAACTTAAAGTTATTTTATTTCAATTAGTTGCCATGTAGCATTTCTAATTTTCATTGTAAGTTTTTTTGTTTTTGTTTTTCATCTAATATTTTATTTAATTTCAGCTTCATTTCATTACTGAAAATGATATTTAGTTGTTTATAGTTAACAACATACTGCATCCAAAATCCCCATATTTCTAATATGAATGCATTAACTTCATAATCTCAGTCAGCGGAAGCAATGTGTCATCTGCATATTTTCCACTTACTTAAAATGCGTATTTATACTAAGGAAGTACACATATTTAGACACGGGTTAGAGATACAACTTCTCTAAGAGGATTTATACAGAGCTTCCTTAATACCGACTAGCTGACTGCTCATTTATCAACTAGTTGATTTTGAAAATACGTAGTTTTTGCACATCGCTAGCAGACTCCTGAAGATTGGTTTTCTCTTTAAAACCGGTCAACAATATCTGTATGAAAACGCACGGGCTGTTTTTTCAGTTCCCAGTTGCTTTGTTCTCTTTAAACAATGTGAGGTCTTTTAAGTGCATTAGTTGTGATGAATCTCACATCATGCACAATTGTGTAAGTTTTATGTAAGTGAAACATTCCCTGGCTATCTCTCTCTCTCTTTCAGGCCGAGCAGGACCTGAAGTTGACACAGAGTGAGTTTGACAGACAGGCAGAGATCACCAGGCTTCTTCTGGAAGGAATCAGTAGTACGCATGTGAGCTCATCTGAAAACCTGCCGCCCAGTGGGCCGCCTGCCAATTCAAGTCTCACAACCCTTCAGTTTTATTCTACAATCCCAAGGTCTGATCTATAACAGACCACATCATCTCTCTCCCAACCTTTTTTTTTGTCCCAGGCCCATCATCTCCACTGTCTTAATGACTTTGTGGAGGCTCAGATGACATATTACGCCCAGTGTTACCAGTACATGGTCGACCTCCAAAAGCAGTTGGGAAGGTAAGTCATTTTTTACCAGTGTATATTTTTTCTTTTTATAATAATTTAAATAATTATATAACTCATCTGGAGTTTCTTTTTTCCCTCCAGCTTCCCTTCGGCTTTCTCTTCCAACAACAACCAGTCAACAGCCGGCGCCGCAGCCAGTGTCTCTGTACCCATCCTGCCGCTCTCAGCCCCTCTTCCTGCCACCACAACCAATGCGTCTTCAGGTTTCACCGAGCTGCAAAACTTCAGCGGGAGCCGTAAAGCGCGGGTGCTCTACGATTACGATGCAGCAGGCAGCAACGAGCTCTCCTTATTGGCCGATGAGGTGGGCGACCCATTTTTATTTTGTACAACAGTCTTATGGTTTGAATTCCCACTAACTTGTCTCTTATTTCAGGTGATCATGGTGAGCAGCGTTCCAGGCATGGACTCTGATTGGCTGATGGGTGAACGTGGAAATCAGAAGGGAAAAGTGCCCATTACTTATTTGGAGCTACTAAATTAAGAGAAAAAAAAAACAAGTGTTGCTGGAAACAGAAACGTATAGTGTATTCCAGCTGTGCTGCGTACCGTATATGCAACCTTGACATCTTGTGCTGCTTACATGCAACAGTATTTTATTGGATGTGACATCTGGCAGTCCCAGAAAGGGAAGAGGTTCTAACCGGACGAGTGTTTACAAATGAATTAATGCAGAATTTTTTTTTAATGCTTTTGATGTGACATGCCTATATATTATACAAAAATCAAGCAAGAGTGTCTTAGAGTATTTACATGTGTTTACAACAAGAAAGTGTTAGTCAAGTCACCTTTATTTATATAGCGCTTTATACAATACAGATTGTCAAAGCAGCTTTACAGTGTTAAAACAGGAAAAACATGTGCCGATAATGCAAGAGCACAATAGAAAACAGTCAGTTTATCAGTTAAAAAGACTGATTGTCATTTTTCTGAATTTTAAAGTGGTTTCCATTATGTACATGAACTCATTTCAGGTTCTAGAGCATTTTAAAAGCATTCATGTAGAGGTGGAGACGTAAATATGCCATAATTTATTTTCAGGGTCTCATATACAGCCCAGCCATCTTCTGCGGTTTACATTTCTCTTTATTGCGTTTAAAGGTTGAGCACACAAAGAAAATGCTTTATTTGCACGCAGACAGCCTTTCTTGTTATGCATTATGAAACTGTCTTTATATACTTCAAACCACATTAAGCATACATCTAGTTATAGAACTATTCATTTCATGATAAATACGAAATCTATTTTCTGATAACAGTACTTTTTTTTTTTTATATACCTATGTGCCTTACATTTGTCTTGGAATTGATGTTTTTAAACTCTTTAAAGCAAAAAAAGGCAAATTTTATGCATATTGTGCCACCCAATATTTAATAAAAGCACAATTTTTTAGTTTACTCTGACAGTATAACTACAAAAGCACAGGTTACCTAACTGCTTAAATTCTGCGATTACTAACATAGATTTATAAACAATGTTTTTGTTACATAAAAATGTGTCGACTTTTTACCCTTCTGTTTTGATTTTGAATCATCTCATTTCATGTGCTGTTCAGAATATGTATTTAATTCTTTCTGCAGTATACTTAACAGAGTTAATAAACTCGAGATGTTTTTAACTTCAAACCATTGCTTCTGGCTGAAATACAGGTCATCTGTCTATAATATTGCTTTCTCCAGTGACAGTTTAAAGTTTCAATGCCTTAATTGATTTAGTTTTTCTTGCAAACACACAGCTTTGCACTTCACAAGACATTAATTGATGGACTGGAGTCTGTGGATTACTTCTTGTGGTGTTTTTATGAGCTGTTTGAACTCTCATTCTGACGGCACCCATTCACTGCAGAAGATCCACTGGTGACCAAGTAATTTAATGCTAAATTTCTCCAAATCTGTTCTGATAAAGAAATAAACTCATCTACATCTTGGGTGGCCTGAGGGTGAATATATTTTCAGCAAATTTTCATTTTGGGGGGTGAACTATTCCTTTAAGACATTCAAGGCACTAACCAACCAACCAAATAAATGAAAGTTTTATTTCAAAGATTACAAGTGGACGCACACTTACTAAATTAAACAATAGGTAAATAGGAAGCTGTATAGCATACTAATACTATATAATTGCATAATGCGTAGTTTCACATGCTTTTTTCAAGAAAAACAGTAAGCAGTGTGTTAGTATTTCGCACAGCATCTATGCTGAAATATGAACAACTTCTCTCAAATGTCAGTAGAGGTCAGGTCTTTTCACTCGGTAGTCAATGAACAGAGAAAAATAATCTAAAGAGTCACGGACTCCCCTTCATTGTTAAATATAAATCACGCATCATCATTATATATAATATAACATGCTGTTGTTTATGTCTTGCCGTACGGTGCTGACAGGCTCATGTGTTGGTGTTGCTCTCGTGTAAACAGCGAGGGGAGGGTTAAAGGGAAGTTGTGCTGAACAGGCTGTTGACTTCCTGTGCTGTTGGGCCTCAGCAGGCGTTCATTCTTGCTGGCCGTTACTCAGCCTCACATGCCGAGAGGGCTATGCTCAGTTCCTTCCCGAAAACAGCAATGTGAGAGCCGACCTGCGAAGTGCTCCTTTCTGCTTCTGCAAAAAACTCAAGCCTGATGAACACTGAGGTTTTACAATTTTAATGTAGCTCTGAAAACTATACAAAAATCTAAAATACACCATGTAAAGTACATCTAAAACTCACAAAATCTAAATGCATCTAAAAAAGCTTTTATGTATATGTGTGTGTGTGTGCATGTTTATGTGGTTTATGAGGACACAAATTTGTATAATAACATGGGTATGACATAGGTATTACAACGAGAAGGTGATTTATGAGGACATCTTCAGTGTCCCCGTAATTCAAAAGGCTTATAAATAATTCAGAATGAGCTTTTTTGAAAATCTAAAAATGCAGAAAGTTTCCTGTGAGGGGTAGGTTTAGGGGTAGGGTTGGTGTAGGGAGATAGAATATACGGTTTGTACAGTATAAAAACCATTATGCCTATGGAGAGTCCCCATAAACCATAAAACAAACCTGTGTGTGTGTGTGTAAGTTTGAAATGTAATTCAATAATGTATTAATGTTTTAGATTTATTTTGGGGGTCCCTTGTCTTTAATCCTTTACCACACTTTTACCAAAATACAAATGTGGCTTTACCTGGAACATTGATGGTATCAGATGGTAATACTATTGAACTGAATAATTATTGGCCTAAATATTTAGATTGTAGCCTACTCCAACATAGATAATATTGTAAATGTGAAAAAAAAGCAATGGTACCATGATAGATAGATAGATAGATAGACCTGCGCATTGGTTATTTTTTCCTATCATAAAGATAAAAAAAAAAGATTTTGGTTGAACATAACTCTGTTTTAAGGGTTTCTAAAAGTGCATTTCCTCTTTGGAGGACAACAACTTTTATTCTTAAAAACAATCTCAAAGTCAGAAGCTTGAAGAAGCTTGAATACTGCGAGATATCTGAAGGCCTAATAAACCCCTGCTTCCCCCAACCCATTTTAAACAGACTTTTCAGGACTGAATTAGATCCAAACTATGGCAGATGCGCCTCTGAGCCCATGCCTGTGACTGTGCTCCCTAGTTTCTCTTTTTCTCTCTCTTTCTCTGTTCAAACCGCCATGACCTAGAGAAACACCACAGCGGTATTCTGGTTACACTCTGGTTTAACATGCACACATGGCTCTGCAGTGTAAACAACACACTCATACACACGACACACAGCCAGGTTCTCCCATGCTCGCTGCCTCACAGATATTTAGCTTTCTTTCAGGACTGAATTAGATCCAAACTATGGCAGATGCGCCTCTGAGCCCATGCCTGTGACTGTGCTCCCTAGTTTCTCTTTTTCTCTCTCTTTCTCTGTTCAAACCGCCATGACCTAGAGAAACACCACAGCGGTATTCTGGTTACACTCTGGTTTAACATGCACACATGGCTCTGCAGTGTAAACAATACACACGACACACAGCCAGGTTCTCCCATGCTCGCTGCCTCACAGATATTTAGCTTTAATTTGTCTTCTTGTCACACACACTGTGCCACAAAATCATGAGAAATCCCATGTAGGCTGAGGTGCTAGTCAGCGTGGTTTAGGTTTGGTGGTCTACCCTGATGATCCCTGCAGTAAGAAATCTGACAAAGAATCCTTGCATTGGTCGATGTGGATACTTACTGTGGCCACGGCCACATAATTACCTTTTGTTTGTACTTTAGAATCATATATTACAGTTATACAATATTGTATATTGTACATTTGGAAGGATTTTACAGTTAGACAGATTTAAGTTTTACAGTTAGATTTAGAGTTTTATTAGAACCTAATCGCGTAAATGACTGAACCACTTGAGCAATATTTCAGCTGAACGATAAATATGATAGCAATCCTTTACGTCCTGCCACAACTGCCTCTGAGAACTCGGTATGGAGCAAAACCACACCACCGCCACCCCCTCTATGATACTGAGAGCTGGGCAGTTGCTACAGGTCTTAGCAAAACAGGAAATTTCATGTTTCCTTTGCTAGTTTTAGCGAATGCTCTGCGAACTTCTGAGAAACTACATACATGCAATATGTAGTGCAAGTGAGCGACTACTTGGGACTGATATAGCCTATAATAAAAAGCCCATAATATGAAGAACACTCTTGTAGAATTTGACCCCCAAATTAAATCCAAGTCAATCAATATGACCATAACAAGTGTTAAATTCTTAGCAGCAGTCAAGTATGGCTCTTTTAGAGGCATGTTTGCAAATGGATTATGTATTTGAATCAAGGACATAATTACATGTTCAATATTCAGGGTAACCAAATTTAAACGTTTGACAATCTGCCACTGAAAAACCCATGTTGATCCGCCACTAAAAATGTCTTTGGTGGTTACAGCCCTAATTTGATGTTTAACCTAATCTCACACATTAATATTTGACTGGGGAACTTGTTTTATCAAATAAATGAAATTATACATTTAATATAAAAAGCTCTGGCACAAGCCATCAAGTACTAGAAAGAACAAGCTTATGAGTTTGATTGTCAAGGAACACGTATAGCAATAAAATGTCTTACCCAGCTAATGGAACATTCTCACAACTTTCACAAACATTTTTTAAAATTATTTAAATGTTAAGAATAAACATTCTTAAAGTAATGTCTATGGAACATTCTAGTAACTTTATTAATATTATATATGCGTTCTCATAACATTGAGAGAAAACCTTTGAGAGATCAACATTCTCAGAATGTTCTTATGATGTTATTTGTACTTGAACATTTTTATAATGTTGAGAAAACGTTATTAGAACAACATTCTCACAATGTTCTTATGATGTTATTTTTATTTTTTTTATTGCAGTAAACAACAAGGATTACAGTACATACAAAACAAACAGTAAAAAACAGTACGTACAAAACCAATCAATAATTATGATGTTATTTGTACTTGAATATTTTTATAATGTTGAGAAAACGTTATTAGAACAACATTCTCACAATGTTCTTATGTTATTTGTACTTGAACATTTTTATAATGTTGAGAAAACGTTATTAGAACAACATTCTCATTGTTCTTATGATGTTATTTGTACTTGATGTACGTTCTAAGAAACGTTTTTGTAACCTTTAAATAACGTTATAATTACGACAAGAAAACTGGACATTTTATCGTTCTTAGAATATTGAAAAATAGACTAACTTTAATAACGCAATATTATGGATAAAAATAATGTTAGCAGAGCATTGTGAGAAACATTTTTGTAACCTTTAAATAACGTTATAATCATAACAAGAAAACTGGACAGTTCTACAGTTTAGCTTGTACCTTTGTTACCTGGGATATTGAATGCACCACAAGTTGCTTTGGATCAAGCTTTTGCCAAATGAATAAAATAAATGCAAATATAAAATATCATG